TTTTTCATCATTTGCTTCCACCATATCCTCCCTACATTCTTTCCTCACTCCCATCCTTACTTTCTTCCATCATTTATTGTTTTTCTCCATTTTGTTTTAGCATTAGCATAATTTTTTCCTTCCACCCTTCCTTCCTTCCTTCCTTCCTTCCTTCATTCTTTCCTCCTTCCTTCCTTCCTTCCTTCCTCCATCCCTTCCTTCCTTCCTTCCTCCATCCCTTCCTTCCTTCCTTCCTCCATCCCTTCCTTCCATCTCATTGTAATCATTTTCAGGTGTTTTGTTCATTTACGTCTCTTTGTATTTATAGCCCATGTGTTCGTCATCCTGTGTCGTATTCCTCGGTTTAACTAGACATTATCTTTATCTTGACTTTCATTCTTCTGGTTTCTAATTTAAACTAAACATGCACTTGGCACCAGTTCTCTTTTAGTGTGTTGCGTCGCATTTATTTAGTCTCTCTGCCTCCTCCAGAGTGTGAGTTCCAGCAGCCTTTGACCTAAATAAGTCTTGTGTTGTGCAGATCGTGTTACATCTGAGGGTCACTTTCATTGCATTGACACCGCAGAGAAACTGCAGCATGTGTTTGACCTTTAACACCCGCGGGCAGGAGAACACAGAAAACACATCACAGCACATCACAACACACACCTGAGCACCAGTCGGTCCCCATTAGCACAACACTGGAGAATTCACAAAACAGCTTATATACAGAAGAGCTGAGCTGCAGTGTAATCATACTCAAGTCAGTCCAATTGCAAATGACCATATGCTAACATTTAAACGTTCTGTCCATAGTCTTACAGTCTGGGCTTCTGGACATATTTTAAATTGTGGAACCATAAATGAAAAATAAGTGCACTTGCATAAAATCTGATAATCCCTTTTCTCTTCTTGGGGTTTGTGTCAAGTAACTTATGTATTTTGCTGACATCTTAACTATGTCTTTAAATAAACCATGTGTTTACTGTTGTCAAATATTAAATAGGGTTAAACTTTTCCCATAGATAATAGGAGGGTTAATGTGCACTGGAGTACACTTCAAAAGGGATGGATGGATGGATGGACAAACAAATTAACAAAAAGTAATGGTAGAAGGAAGTAAAGATGGAAGAAGAAAATGAGGTAGTGGTAGAAGGAAAGAAGGAAGAAATGAAGGAAGAAAGAAAAGAAGGAAGAAGGAAGGGATTGAGGTACTGGTAGAAGAAATGAAGGAAGGAAGGAATGAATAAAGGAAGGAAAGAAGGAAGGAATGAAGAAAGGAAAGAAGGAAAGAAGAAACAAGGAAGAAGGACGTAATTGAGGTAGTGGTAGAATAAATGAAGGAAGGAATGAATGAAGGAAGGAAGGAAAAAGGAAGGAAGGAAGGAATGAAGGAAAAAAAGAAAAGAAGGAAGAAGGACGGAATTGAGGTTGTGGTAGAAGAAATGAAGGAAGGAAGGAAGAAAGGAAGGAAGGAAGGAAGGAAGGATGGAAGGAAGGAAGGAAGGAAAGAAGGAAGGAAGGAAGGAAGGAAGGAAGGAAGGAAGGAAGGAAAGAAAGAAGAAGGACGGAATTGAGGTAGTGGTAGAAGAAATGAAGGAAGGAAGGAAGGAAGAAAGGAAGGATGGATGGAAGGAAGGAAATGATAGAAGGAAGGAAAGAAGGAAGGAATGAAGAAAGGAAAGAAGGAAAGAAGAAACAAGGAAGAAGGACGTAATTGAGGTAGTGGTGGAATAAATGAAGGAAGGAATGAATGAAGGAAGGAAGGAAAAAGGAAGGAAGGAAGGAATGAAGGAAAAAAAAGAAAAGAAGGAAGAAGGACGGAATTGAGGTTGTGGTAGAAGAAATGATGGAAGGAAGGAAGGAAAGAAGGAAGGAAGGAAGGAAGGAAGGAAAGAAAGAAGAAGGACGGAATTGAGGTAGTGGTAGAAGAAATGAAGGAAGGAAGGAAGAAAGGAAGGATGGATGGAAGGAAGGAAATGATAGAAGGAAGGAAAGAAGGAAGGAATGAAGAAAGGAAAGAAGGAAAGAAGAAACAAGGAAGAAGGACGTAATTGAGGTAGTGGTGGAATAAATGAAGGAAGGAATGAATGAAGGAAGGAAGGAAAAAGGAAGGAAGGAAGGAATGAAGGAAAAAAAAGAAAAGAAGGAAGAAGGTTGTGGTAGAAGAAATGATGGAAGGAAGGAAGGAAAGAAGGAAGGAAGGAAGGAAGGAAGGAAAGAAAGAAGAAGGACGGAATTGAGGTAGTGGTAGAAAAAATGAAGGAAGGAAGGAAGAAAGGAAATGATAGAAGGAAGAAAATGGAATTGTTTAAGTAAATGTAGCTGTCGTTTTTATGAATACTCTCATTACAGTCTGTGCATATTTAATCACTGCAATGCTGAATTATCAGTTATTTACCATTAATAACATACTCTAACTGCATGAAAACAATAAAAATAGAATATTAAGGATAAATTGGTAAGCCTTTACAAAAACACCCCATCTGTTAGCACTCGTTAATGCAATATTTACTGTAAGATTAACAATAGACACTTTATTTTACAGTATTTCTTAATCATTGTTGATGGGAGCTAAAGCAAGCATAATTTTTCTTATTAAATACATCTTCTGATTTTTGCAGAGTAATGTGTACAGTAGATGTGTATGAGTGCTTTGATAGTGTTTTCCTGGGTCATTATTCTGATCATTGCTTATATTTAAACTCTGCTGTGTCTGCGGTCTGTCTGTTATCAGTCACGAATGATTCCTGAATGTTGTATTAATTCTGTAAGCAGTAAGACCTTTGCCTAAGGCCTTCACAAAAACATATTGATCTTGTTTTTAGGAGGAAAAGAAAAAATGTATTTCATGATCTGACACATAAAGACCAGCACCCCACTGTATAAAGCAATAACCACAGCAGCATGTGCTGTCAATAAATTCAGTGAGAAAAAAATTGTGTTAAAAGGGCCTTATGAACATAAAGCTTTTAAATTAAAATTAAAATTCAACTCGTCAACTCTGTTATCGTCAACTCTGTTATCGTCCACTCTGATATCGTCAACTCTGTTATCTTCCACTCTGATATCGTCAACTCTGTTATCGTCAACTCTGTTATCGTCCACTCTGATATCGTCAACTATGTTATCGTCAACTCTGTTATCGTCAACTCTGTTATCGTCAACTCTGATATCGTCAACTCTGTTATCGTCAACTCTGTTATCGTCAACTCTGTTATTGTCAACTTTGTTATCGTCAACTCTGATATCGTCAACTCTGATATCGTCAACTCTGTTATCGTCAACTCTGTTATTGTCAACTTTGTTATCGTCCACTCTGATATCGTCAACTATGTTATCGTCAACTCTGTTATCGTCAACTTTGTTACCGTCCACTCTGATATCGTCAACTCTGTTATCGTCAACTCTGTTATCGTCAACTTTGTTACCGTCCACTCTGATATCGTCAACTCTGATATCGTCCACTCTGATATCGTCAACTCTGTTATCTTCCACTCTGATATCGTCAACTCTGTTATCGTCAACTCTGTTATCGTCAACTCTGTTATCGTCAACTCTGTTATCGTCAACTCTGTTATCGTCAACTCTGATATCGTCAACTCTGTTATCGTCAACTCTGTTATCGTCCGCTCTGATATCGTCAACTCTGATATCGTCAACTCTGTTATTGTCAACTTTGTTATCGTCAACTCTGATATCGTCAACTCTGATATCGCCAACTCTGTTATCGTCAACTCTGATATCGTCAACTCTGTTATCGTCAACTCTGTTATCGTCAACTCTATTATCGTCAACTCTGATATCGTCAACTCTGTTATTGTCAACTTTGTTATCGTCAACTCTGATATCGTCAACTCTGTTATCGTCAACTCTGTTGTCGTCCGCTCTGATATCGTCAACTCTGATATCGTCAACTCTGTTATTGTCAACTTTGTTCTCGTCCGCTCTGATATCGTCAACTCTGATATTGTCAACTCTGTTATTGTCAACTTTGTTATCGTCAACTCTGATATCGTCAACTCTGTTATCGTCAACTCTGTTATCGTCAACTCTGTTATTGTCAACTTTGTTATCGTCCACTCTGATATCGTCAACTATGTTATCGTCAACTCTGTTATCGTCAACTTTGTTACCGTCCACTCTGATATCGTCAACTCTGTTATCGTCAACTCTGTTATCGTCAACTCTGTTATCGTCAACTCTGTTATCGTCCGCTCTGATATCGTCAACTCTGATATCGTCAACTCTGTTATCGTCAACTTTGTTATCGTCAACCCCTTATATCGTCAACTCTATTATTGTCAACTCTGATATCGTCGACTCTGTTATCGTCAACCCCTTATATCGTCAACTCTGTTATCGTCAACTCTGTTATCATCAGCTCTGATATCGTCAACTCTGATATCGTCAACTCTGTTATCGTCAACTCTGTTATCATCAACTCTGATATCGTCAACTCTGATATCGTCAACTCTGTTATCGTCAACTCTGTTATTGTCAACTCTGTTATCGTCAACTCTGTTATCGTCAACTCTGTTATTGTCAACTCTGTTATCGTCAACTCTGATATCGTCAACTCTGATATCGTCAACTCTGTTATCGTCAACTCTGTTATCGTCAACTGTTATCGTCAACTCTGTTATCGTCAACTCTGTTATCGTCAACTCTGTTATCGTCAACTCTGTTATTGTCAACTCTGTTATCGTCAACTCTGGTATCCTCAACTCTGTTATTTGTCAACTATGTTGTCGTCAACTATGTTATCGTAAACTCTGCTATCGTCGACTCTGATATCCTCAACTCTTTTGTTATTGATTCAACAACCTTAACAATAAGTTGAACAAAGAATCACATGTCCCTCATCACATTTAAACATTTCATGCAGTTTTCTGTACATTATATTCGCTGTATATCATGAAAAACTATAGAAAATTATCGCAACCAATTTAATCACTAATTTTTGGAATTACTTAATAACATATGTTTTGAATGCTGACCATATGTGTGTGTGTTTCCAGGTGACGGAGACGCGGACAGGTCCACTGGGCTGCAGCACCTATGATAACCTGGACTCGGTCAGTTCTGTCCTCCTCCAGAGCCCGGAGAGTAAACTGCATCTACAAGGTAAAATGCTGATTATGTTCATTATAATCGTCATTAATTCATGATCTGCTTTAGCTGAAGCTCCACACGGTCAGAGACTGAGCTGATTGCATTCCTGCTCCATACTGATATCTGATACATGGAGAATTATGAATATAAAAACTAATAGCTAATGTACTTGAACATATATGTGCAGCTGTCTTCTTTCTTTCTTTCTTTCTTTCTTTCTTTCTTTCTTTCTTTCTTTCTTTCTTTCTTTCTTTCTTTCTTCCTTTGTTTCTTTCTTTCTTTCCTTCTTTCTTTCTTTCTTTCCATAATGTCCTTCTACTTTCTTTCTTTCCTTCCTTCATCCCTTTCTTCCCTCCCTTTGTTAATTCGTTCATTCATTCCATCTTTCCTTTCTTCCTTCCATAATTTCCTTCTTTTATCCTTTCCTTCTACCATTTCCTTGCTTCCATTGTTACTTCCTTTTATCCTTTGCTTTTTCTTCATTTCCTTCTACAATTACCTAACTTCCTTCCTTCCTCCTTCTCTCCCTCACTCCATCCCTTCCTTTCTTACTTCTTTCCTTCCTTTCTTCCATAATTGCGCTTTTTTCTTCAGTTTTTTTGTACTGTACCTCAGTTACTTCCTTTATTTATTTATTTCCTTCCTTCCTTCCTTCCATGCTTCCCTCCCTCCCTCCCTTCTTTCTTTCTTTCTTTCTTTCTTTCTTTCTTTCTTTCTTTCTTGCAATTGTTCATTCATTTTGACATTAGTTCGTTCGTTCGTTCATTCGTTTGTTTGTTCGTTCATTCATTCATTCATTCATTCATTCATTTGTTCGTTCATTCAATCATTCATTCATTCATTCATTCATTCATTCATTCATTCATTCATTCATTCATTCATTCATTCATTCATTCATTCATTTATTCATTCATTCATTTATTCAATTATTCATTCATTCGTTCATTCAATAAAATAAGGCAAAACTAATATGCCATTTATGTACGCACAATAATATTGTTTTTACTTTGAGATGAGTTTATTCTGCTTGCCCCATTATGACTTCATAATTTGAATTTAATTTAAATGATTTAATTTAATTTTGACTTTTTTTCTGAGGGCCACACGTTGACTGTGGTTAGGACTGTTGTCTAACAGCAAAAAGGTTGCTGGTTCGAGTTCTGGTTGGGCCAGTTGTCATTTATGTATGGATATTGCATGTTCTCCTTGTGTTGGCATGGGTTTCCTCCAGGTGCTCTGGTATAGAGGTCTGCACGGGACTGTTTTTATAGACTGCTCCTGCTGTATATTCAGTCTTTGTTCACCCGCTGCCTGCTTAGAATAATTTTCTACTCAACCTAATTTTTTCCACTAAATTTAGATCTGATTTCTAAAATCTGACATTTAAAGTATTATCGAAAGATAGAAATGACAGATAAAAGTGCAGGTTGTGCAAAGATTGCAGGCTAAATGTCATTTTTGTTTGGCCCTTTGTGATGAGACATGAGTGCCACCTTTAACCAGAGGCTCCAGTGTTGTGACTGCTAGAGGGTAAAACTTTAAGGTATCAATTCGCGCAAAGATTAGTTTTTGTAACACTTAATGTTGATGGATCATTTGTGTATTAGTAGACTGTGTGATATCTGCAGATGATGCTCCTTCCACAGACATTTAACTGACTATAGGAAGCTTTGCAAGTACAAGTCAACTCACACTAACCCTAACCCCAACCCCAACCTAACACTTTACTTATAACCTAATGGGAATAAGTTGGGATGTAGATGCAGTGTAACTTACTTCAACAAACGGACCATCTAAATAAAGTGTGACCTAAAGTGTGAATTTTTTTTTTTTTCATTTGCATCTATGACATATGAAAAAGACTTGCCTGATGTGGGTTTATTAACAGCAAACTGGCTGTTTTCTAATGCAAGCTGAACATCCTTCAAGGACAGCGCATCTTCAGTTTGATCTACAGTGGTAAAGCCCGCTCTGAGGACCGTTACATGATGCACGCACAGGCTGTGTGAATAAAAGGCACATGTAGAAAGCACTGCTCATGCGTTCGTTCAACATGTGAGTACTGGCTGTACCGCTGCTTAATAGGAATGTGAAAGTCACAGATATGCTGTTCCAAAATAATGTCAGGACTTGGGAGCGCTATATCGTTAGACCGCCCGCTTTCATTCGCATTACACCAGAGTTACCGACCACTACTGCATTTTATTTGGATATTCCCTGTAAGAAATGTAGGACCTCTACAAAATACAGACCTCTTCTCTCCGGTTTCCCCCACAGTCCAACAACATGCAGTACAGGTGAATTTAAAAAACGTATTGGTCATATTGTATGAGAGTGAATTGTTTTCCCAGTACTAGGTTGCAGCTGGAAGGGCATCCACTGCATCAAACACATTGCCTATGATTTTTTTTTTTTTTACATGGGCTAGATAGTAAGTAAAGCTGTTTTTACAGTGTAGCAGGATTGTAATGCAGAAAAAGGACTGAAATCCAGGCGATTTGCCTCAAATGATTCATCAGTCCAGCTGCTCGGGTGTCAAACCAAACATAGAAACAAGAAGTGCAGAAATATGTTTGTTTCCTCTCATCATTATCACATGAAAAGATCATTATGTCTTGATAATTGTGTGGATTTTAGTTTGTACATCTGCTGTATTGACACATGCTGTAGAGAAGAGAAACTCTCAGATGCACAGCTGCGAAATAAATAAATAAAATAAAGCGCTGTGAGTGACTGATGGTGCTGAAGATCAACAGCAAGACGATGATGTCAAATCAAGAGCAGAATTGACACATTATGCATCTACACATTGACATTAATGACCAGTTACATTAAGACTAATGTTTGTTCTAACCATCTGAAATGGTGACACTATACATGTCTATTTTATAAATGTTTTCTATTTTCGTGACGTCGCAGCAGAGCAACAGAATAAACGACTCTGACATTTATAACCTCAGGTACTGATTATGGGCTTTATTCAGTGTTATATGCTCCCCGTGTGAGTTTAAATACAATTTTACAGGACATTTATTGTCGTACTACTAAAAGCAGCAGCAGATTTCGAAAATTAAATAACTAGAAAAAAGTTAGAAAATGAAAGTGAGAACTGTGACTCTGCAAGCCAATCCTTACAAAACCACCTTTAAAATATTTTATTTTATTTTATTTTATTTTATTTTATTTTATTTTATTTTATTTTATTTTATTTTATTAATTAAATTAAATTAAATTAAATTAAATTAAAATAAATTCATCTATTTTTCTATTTATTTTCTATTATTTTATTAGTGTATTTATTTTATTTGTGTTTTAAATTTGTGTTTATTTTATTTTATTTATTTAATTAAATTTTTTTGCCATTTTATTTTATTTGAGTTTAATTTAATTTAATTAATTAATTTTATTTTATTATTACCCTTCCACCCAGCACTCAGTAATCCAGAAGTGAAAATATAAATCAGCTTCTTTATTCGTGTTTAATTAAATTAAATTAAATTAAAATAAATTAAATATTTTGTTTTCTATTTATTTTCTTTTATTTTATTAGTGTATTTATTTTATTTGTGTTTTAAATTTTTGTTTATTTTGTTTTATTTTTTATTTATTTGGCACTTTATTTTATTCTATTTTATTTCTGTTTTTATTTTAATTGTATTTAATTTAATTTCAATCAAATTAATAACTTTTGTATTTATTTATTTTATTTTGCATTTTATTTTCTTTTATTTCATTTGTGTTTTTATTTTATTTGTTTTACATTAAATTAAATTAAATTAAATTAAATTAAATTAAATTAAATTAAATTTTATTTTATTTTATTTTATTTTATTTTATTTTATTTTATTTTATTTTATTTTATTTTATTTTATTTTATTATTCCCCTTCCACCCAGCACTTAGCAATGCAGAGGTGTAAATATAAATCAGCTTCTGTACAGAAGGTCAGGACGAAGCTGCAATGTGTTTAGCTTGTGCTTTCTCTCACTGTTTTTCCCAGCAGAGACAAAACAGCTGTGGAAACTGATTATGAGGCGTTTTCAGGAGACACTCGCAATGTTTTTCCAAAAACTTTCAGTTTTCCCTTTTGTTTCAGAGCAACACTGTGTCGACATTAGTGTTGTCTACTTACTCCTCAGTGAACACTGCATAAACTGTGTGTCAAAATAGCACAATATCCTAAATAGACACAAGTGACATCAAATAAATGTTAGCACTAAAGTAATCTAAATGAAATCCAAAAGTAATCGCATTTCATCACCATAAATGTGTAATCTAAAGTATCTTATTACTGACTACACATTTTGTCATGTGATCTGTAATCACTAGTAATCACTAACTGACCATAAGTAATTCACACAGCTGTACATATTGTTATTATTATTATTATTATTATTATTATTATTATTATTATTATTATTATTATTATTATTATTATCAAAATTAGTAGTAGTATTTATGTGTAACAAGAAAAGTATATAAAATTAATAAAATAAATTACAAACAAAATATCTAAAAAAAAAGCCATATTTTATCAGTGATGATTTCCAATACAGTTAGCAGAGCAGAACTAATATAAATAAAGTAGTTCTAACATAAATCTGAGATGTTTTTGTGATCGTAAGCTGTAAGATGTGGTGTGTTTTTACAGTCTTTGTCTGAGATGCTAAAATGTCAGATGTGGAGCTGAAATCCTGAAAGTGACCTGCAGAATCCGACAGAAACACTCCTTTAAAAGGTTCCTTCAGCCAATCGTGAACTAATCTGCAGGCGTTTCGAGACCCTGTGCTTGCTGACCCCTGTGACTTACACTTTCTACAGTGGAGCACAAAAGCAGAAGCTTAGCAGAATGTTCATGCTACTCACATAATGTACATGACAAAAATAAAACAGAAAAAAAAAACAATAAATCAATTAATAAATACAATTTTAATTTTAATAAAATAATAAATATGAATGAATGAATGAATGAATAAACTATTGAATGAATGATTAAATTATTGAACGAAAGAA